AGTATCCTGTGGTCATGATGTTTCTTACAAGCCACTCACTTTCTCATCCTTGTGTTACGCATTCTTTGGGTGTGGCATGAAATCGTCAGCATGCAGTGATTATATTTTCAAACCGCAATTGATTCCCAAGCTTTGTTTAGACCGCTGACAAATTGGTTATCATGTGGTTTTAACGGTGCAGTCATGATGTGACACGAACGCTTCTAATATATTTATTTAACTCGTAAGTACAACATCGCTGGAGGCGGTCGGAATTCGTACTGTGAAAGGCGCAACTGTGAAATGTGTACTCGCGGGTTTACGAACAAATCACATGTCTCCTTTTTTCCTCTCTACTGTTTAAACTACTCCCGTGCTTGGACAGCAAGAACTTTGCCAAACTGGCCTGCAGTTAATTTATCTCAAACGTTTGGAGTAATTAATCCGATGACCACTATATTAACTAGCATAACTAAACCCGTTGTACAACTATATGATTGTGTAAATTTGTCAAATGTGAACTCTTCTTTGTTTTTACTGGATAATTTGTTTTCCTCCTGTATTAAGATAAACACGATCAATGAAATCCGTCAAAATGGTCATATTTTGCATCTTGTTTATTATCAGAAAATCTACGGAGGTCGTTGATGGTTAAATGAATTTAAGGTGGTTTGTTATTTTTTTACCAAATAAAAGGTCTGGCGTGTTGGATAATTAAGCTAAAGTACACAGCTAAGTTTGTGTTTCAGGTTCGTTTCCCTTTTGATGTGTATATATTCACGGGTCGGTATTTTTCGTTTGTCCCTCATTTAGTTGGTACGAAGCCTTTGGTTGTTTCACATCTCCAAGCTGATTGAATGCTTGGATACCGTATTCTTCATCTTGTCCGGTAAATTACGACTGGTCACCTGGCTTCACGTTTACCACCATTCAACTATGATTCCGTACACGTGGGTTTTGGCCAAATGGATCCCCGGTAGTCAAGCGTTCAATCTGGTTTTGACGAACGGGAGCGTCCACGTAGTCATGTACACATATTATGCGTTAGCTGCCCTGGGACCGGCATGGCGGAAGTACCTCTGGTGGAAACGATACCTGACAATTCTACAAATGGTAAGACTTAGAATTTATACCCTTATTTGGAAACATTGTGCTTTATCATTAGCATTAAATTCAGTTTCTTGACTGTTTGTAAAGTAAAATCAAAAACGCGATCAGTGATTATTTCTTATCAGAACCGAAATAAGTTTCATTAGCTTTTTCAGTCATCAGGAAGGAAATATAATTTCAGTTCAATTCGGTTTTTACAACCATTAACCTTGCTCTGCCATGCAGTGGTTCTGGTTGCTGTCTTTTAACCACCCATTTAAATAAGAAGAATAAGGGTGTTGGAAACCGTCCCCCGATGCCATAATTTTTCCACGAGAGCTCGACACATTGGAATGTTTCAGAAGAAAGTGGTCTGTAATTCATAGTAACGGGCTGCCAGCTTACTATTTGAGATTGGAAAATAAAGAACCCCTCAGTGTGGTCGGGGATGGGTGTCTAGGGTTGCGGCTGGTCACCCGTCCCTTGCACCTCGCGAAATACTCCCATACAACCAAGCGTCTCAAATAGCATCTGCTGCGGAAATCCTACTCACTGCCTTCTCGTGGCGGAGGTGTTTTTGCACGAAAGTGAGGATGAAAAGCCGATATCAGGGGCTACAATCGGGTTTGTGGACCACCGGTAGTTCACTTAGGGGAGTTAGCCAAAAATCCTGATTTCAAACTAACCAAGATGAGGCATACAAACCACAATCACATCTTCCTGGTTGTGGCAGTGGTCCCCTGATCGATTTTCATCAATGTTTATTGGGCATCT